CCCCAAAACCCCAAAACCCCAAAACCCCAAAACCCCTTGGAACTACAAAAAATTGAAATAGGAAGATTTTATTAAATTTTAAATCAACACTTGAAAATGGCAAAGAACAAAATTATGAAGAAGCATAAGAAGATAGGTCATAAGCATAAGAAGAAAGGAAGGCCTGCTAAATTTGGTAAGACTCTTGTACTAGATTATAAAGTTGTATTGGTTTTACTAAATACATTTCTTAATATTTTAAATAGCTAAACCCATAAGTAAGAGAGTGACAAGATCTTCTACTGTAACAAAAACAGAAGAGAAGAAGAGTCCAAAGAGTAGTAAATCTGATGAATCTGATAAGAAAGACAAAACTGTTGCACCATCAAAGGAAATTACTCCTGCTTTAGAAGAGACTGATTACAAAAAGATTCAAGATATTCACATCCAGTCCCTCGAAAGAGAAAAGAAGTATATACAGAATAAGAAATTGCGGGAACAGAACAAAGAAAGTGAGCCTAATGAAGATGACCAGAAGTATAAATCTAGACTGAGGGGTTCTGACACAAGAGGAACTCCTCAGTATAACATGGATATGGACTCAATGAAGTTAGAGTCTCTCCTACGAGACTATAATACTCAACAGTAAGATTACCACATTATCTGTAGGCAAAAGAAGCCAAAGAAGTTGGATTATAAGCCATTCGACTTGCCTTACTACAAAGGTATTCAGATTCCTAAGCATTTAAAATGGCTGACAATTTATTCCCGTACAAACGAGAGTATCTTAATGCAGGAAATTGAAGCTCTCGAGCTGGAAGTGCTTCGTCTCAAGGAAGCTAAGCTCATTCACAAGGAATTTAGGTAAGCCCTTGTACTGATAAACCTACTACAGACGCTACGCACAACTTCCCTTTGGAGTTATGTCAAAACCATGCAACTGCTGAAGAAAGTGGGAAAAGAAGAAGCACTGGTGAAACCACGGCTTCTGTGCTAAACCTTGCAGAAAACAAGATGATGGAAGAGATACCAAAAGAGAGAAGGTAAATTAAAAGGGTAATCCAAATTAGGACAACAATGAAGAGACCATATTAGTAGCCACGAAGGTGACTAAAGAAGCCAAAATATCTGCTGATCCAATCCAGAGTAAGTTAGCTAGTTTTAAATGGTCAGTAATATTGCTATATAGATCAATTTGGAAGTGAACCGATGCTCATTCCAGTATATCCAGAAGGAATGCCTGAAGGAGGAGTCAAAAGACAGAGAGGAAGACCAAAGAAAGTTAAGTCTGATGAGAAAGAAGACTTTGAAATGGAAAAGGAACCACAACCAGATGATGCTCCTCAGAACGTTTCAATGCAAGAACCTATAAAAGAGCCTACTGAGGAAGTAAATAAAGAAATGACACCTGAAGATCCAAAACCCCAAGAGGAAAAGGAAAATGAAGAAAAGACACCTGAAGAACAGAAGCCTGAAGAACAGAAACCTGAGGAAAAGAAGCCTGATGAAGAGAACCAACAAGAGATTAAGGAATAATTGGTTTGATTTTCAATATCTCAACTATCAACTGGGGTTTTGGGGTTTTGGGGTTTTGGGGTTTTGGGGTTTTGGGGTTTTGGGGTTTTGGGG